GGGGAGAGAAAGGTGGGGGAAGGGGAGGACAGGGGAGGTAGGGGGATGGGTGCAGGGGAAGGGTTGATAGATCAGGTGCAGGCAAGGGTGACACAAACACAACACACACACACACACACACACACGCACGCACACACACACGCGCACGCACGCACACAAGCACGCGCACGCCAGCGAGCTTGCATGGATGGCAACTTTCACATTGAGATGACGCCCGGAAACGCTGCTCTCGCAACCACGCCCATTCTCCAGAATGCGCGCGAGCGCGAGTGGCCAGCGCAACCTCGGGATGTGCATACTGCGACAGCCCCTCCTCATTTGTCCTTCTCCAGCTTTGAACTCAGAAAAGCAAAGGACATCTCACCATGTTGTAGAGGTGGTAGAAGACGCCCCCGACAGCCAGCAGCTGGATCAGCGCGCCGCGCCCCAGCTTGGCGACCGCCGCGTCCCACGCGCCCGCCCACACGTGGCCCTCCGCAACCACCGCGGCGGGGGCGCAGTAGAGCAGCGACACGATGGAGATGAGGCCGAACAGGTTGATGCCGTCGAAGTGCTGCAGGAGGGGGGTTGGTGGATGGAGGTCGTGACGGTCAATGGTACCACATGGGTGATCGAGGATGCAAGATGAAAACGGGTTGGAATGGAAGCAGCAGTGGCTTGTACGGGGCGAGGCCCAAGCAATGCGGAGCGGCTGGCCGAGTTTGGGGTTGGCGCCGCCGCTGCATGCGTCGCTCAGAAGGCCCGCGTTTGGCGGCTCTTTGCCCAAACTGGGTCCCCCGCAACCCGCAATTGCCAGCACATGCACAACCATCGCCGCAACGCGGCACCGCGTTATCAAGGGCGCACGCACAACCCCCAGCTGCTGATCAAAGCCCTTTCAATCAGGGCAGCCTCACAGTCCCCACACCCACCTTGTAATCGTTGAGGCTCTTCTTCGAGTAGATGTTGCGCAGCACCATCCCCACGTTTGATATCATCGCATTGTTGAAGCCGCCCCAGCTGAAAGACACCTCCTTCATCGCGCTCAGGCTGCAGCCCGCCACGATCGGCAGCAGGCTGCCCCAGACGTACCTGGGTGCAGGATGTGCGGCGGCGGCGGCGGCGGTGGCGGGGGCAGTGGGGGATGTCGTGGGTTGAGGGACCGGCATTGGATGCAAGACCGCGCGCCGCACGCCCGAGGCACATACGGCGATCAGCGGCGCGACCGTGAGCGATTGCTGCCGCCCGCCCGTACGGCCCAAACGCCTGAACGCCCTGGCTGTGGCAGGCCCCCGCGCAGCGCCACCGTGCCAGGCGGGGTGTGAGCCCACCAGGGGTACACAATGCCCAGCAGCGGCCAGGAGAGGATGACGCTGAACACCGGCTCCGCAGACTTCACGATGTGCGCAAAGCTCACGGCCACCTGGGCGGCACGGCGCCGGGGTGGTGCGCGCCGCAAAGGGGGAGGGGATGTCTCTGAGCAGAGGAAGGGGCGTGTGCGCTTCTGCTCCCCCACCGACCGCGTCCGGTCGCCCCCGCACGAGCTGACACGGCAGGCGCGTTGGCGAGCCCTGTTGAGCAGTTTCGCCCCCTTGGAGCGTCAGCAGCAAGCGAGGCATGCGTCGGCCCACCGCGCGCCCAGCCGGGCACCTGGGAGAAGCTGACGCAGGCTGACACGTGGCCGACCGTGTGGAACAGGCCCACTGGCAGCATCGCGATCAGGAACTCCCTGGAAATCAGATGGGGTGGGGTGGTATGTCATGTCAACAAAGAGAAGAGAGAGGGGGCCAGCCGATCCAAGCCTTTGGCGAGGCAGGCTGGCAGCAGACAGATGGGAGCGAGGAGATACAGGCCAGGATGGATATGGCAGGTGAGGGGAGGGGCGCCGCTGCGCCTGATGCCGTTGCAATCAAGAGCGAGGGACTACCCCGCGGGTCCCAGGGCTTCACCTGGACACCTGGGGCGCTGGCTGCAGCTTTGTCACCCAGAGGCCCACCATGAACAGCCCGCTGGCCGCTGCAGAGCACGCAAGGTCGGCGGCACGTTGTGGTGCAAACAGCGGTGCCATGGGACAGCAGCTGCAAGCCCAACCCGACGAGACAGGTGTCGAGCCAGTTCCGGAAGTTGTGCAGCTGCTGCAATGGCGGAGAGCGCTGCCCTCGTCCATGCGCTGGGTCGCAGGGCCGGCCACACCTCGCCACCCTGCACCCGGCCCTCTCACCCAGCTGCAGCGTCGAGATGAGCCAGGGGCAGGGGAACGCGTTCAGGGTGCTCTTGTTCAGGATGTTGAATATAATGTTGAAGGCATACCTTGACAAAAGTTTGGGAGGGGCGGAAGGGCGGGGGATGACAGAGGGACGACGCATGGGCCTGCGGGCGGCGGTGCCAGGGACTGCGGGATTCCTGCAGCGCTGCTAGCAGCCACGGGGCTGCCGCTAAGGGTCGCCATCCGTGCGTTGGCTGTAGGCAGTGGATATCGAGGCGCATGCGGTGTCCGTGCCATCCCGGCGCCAGTAGCCGAGTTACCACCAACCACCCTGACTCCTGGCCTTGCAAAGTATCTTGATTGATACAATATCACATGGCACGATACGGAATGTGCAGCTGCTTGTGTGCTGTCCAACCTGGTATGAGGACGATGTGGATTCTCACCAGAGAAGGATGTAGGTTGGCACCTTCAGGTTGAAGGGTGCCGGCGAGTCGCCAGGCTGTGCAGCGGCCGCATCTGAAGCAGCAGCAGCGATGATGCTGCCGCGCACGCTACCGCTGCACTGATGCTGCTGCCGCTCATACAAGCATGCCTGCAATAATATATATTGGATTGCATGTGGTGGCGTTGGATATGTGCATGCTTGGTTGAGCTACAGTACAGATCACTGAGCCACGCCCTCACCTGCGGCAGGGCCCCCGAAGGGGATTTTAGGGCCACCAGAAGTGGATTGCGTGTGATATCTGGCTTTTGTATGCCGTATATAGCGCAGGCCCGGGCCCTGCCTGCCATCACGCGTTGCTGCATAGCTGCCTGCATGGTGGTGCTTAAATAAAACAGATGATACACTAGCGCATATTTGCCGCATGGGGGTACCGTACTCTGGGCTCCAGGGCCTCCAACTCACAATTCAACTGCGAACTGCTAGGAAGACTGTGCCAACTGATGAGAGTCACCTGGTGCCAATGCGCCACGATGTGCGAAGTGGCACTATGAATTATAAATAGAATGGAATCAGGGCTGTTTTGTGATATGAGTCCCAGTGGAACGGGTACGGGCAGGGATACTCCACTCGTTTTGTGCACTCCGCTGCTTGCCGGACACTTGTTCCTTTGATCCCCGGTGAGACGGTGACGGCCGACTACGACTCCAAGGTAGTTGAGGTATACTTCTACTGTACAAACCACGTGCATGGTGGGTGTGGGACGTGTTGTGGGAGAACAGAGAGGAGTGCAGAAATACGGCACAATTACTGAAGGCTTGTGACAAAGAGCTGGGTGTTTGAACTTTGGAGGTGAGAACTCCTCAGCGCAACCAGGCAGCTTTAACAAAGAATACACGCACCCCTTTGCCTGTCCTGGTCAAGACCGCTGACCAGCGCAGCCAGGCCCGATTTTTGCTGCCCAGCACGCAGCCAGCATCTGCCTTCTTCCATGACAGTTGTGTGGAGCTGCTGAAATCAACAGCCACACTCAAACAGCTGCCCAACACGGCCGCCCCACAGTAAAAGATGATATCATCCGCTGCAGTGTTGCGCGCAGCGTAGACTTCTTGGCTCTGAGCCACACGCAATCTCTTTTTTCTGAAAGAGAGAAAGGGACCACACTAACGCATCACATGGCCGAAGGGCGACCTCGCAGGTGTGCTTTGGCCTAGCCCCTGGAAGGCAAACACGCATGCACAGGACCCTCCAAGCCTGCGCAACGTGTTCTGTCCACGGAGTCATTGTTACATGAGGCTGCCCCGCCTTTGGAGACGACGCGATTGTGACCCATCAGAACTAAGGCCACAGCCCCGCAACTGCGCAACGACGAGCCCCGCCCTGCCGGGCCAACAGGGCCGGCGCGCGCGGCTCACGGCACGCCCGCCTCCTCGGCCGCCTTGCGCAGCACCGAGGGCGGGGCGCTGAGCAACGCGGGCCGCTTCACAACAGCCAGGCGGGCGTCTTCTACATCAGCCTGGGGGTGGAGATGGGGGGTGGATTGTGTTATGATGAGTAGATTGTCAATGTTGGATGCATTTGTGTGCCCCAATGAGGGTTGCACGCACGAACACAAGACTTGTTGGGGTCGGCACTTGGCAGGGGTGGGCGACGTTGCAGCTTGAGCATATGGAACAGGAGGCTAGGGGGTGCAGGGCGGGAACGGTTTCAAGGGAATATGTTTGCGGGTGCCCACAGCTTGAGGATATGGTTTGTGTTGCGAATCGTCGCTGCAAACACACTTCAGGGACGCGCATTCAGGAGCACGGGGAGCTCAAGAGTGCGCCTATGTGAAATCAAGAGCACGACGCACACACTTCCCGTAGGGTGCAGGACCTTGGGTTTGTTGTGGGTGATGCACCACATGGCATCACAGCACACGGGGAATCCCACGCACAACCACTCCTTCACATCGACGTGCACAGCGGCATGCACCTTGAGCGCCGCCGCCAGCGCCTCGAGCCGCGCACGCATGACCTGCGGCGGCAGCAGCAGCAGCGACGGCTGCTGCGCCGCCATCGCGGCCGCCTCGGGCGCCGGGACGCCGACGATGCGCCCGAGGTTGGCGATCTGGGCCTCAATCAGATCTGGCGGCTCCAGCAGCACGGCGGGCGCGCGCGCGGCGGCCGCGGCGGCCGCGTCGGCGGACGGCAGGCTCAGGGCGCGTCCAAGGGACGCGAGGCGGCGCTCGACCAGCGGCTTTGGCAGGAGGGTGAGGAGGTTGGGCTGCCGCGCCACAATCGCATGGGCCCGCTGGGGCGAGAGCTGCGGCAAAAAGGGGCGACGGCGAGGATGAGGCGGTTCACAAAGCGGCAGCGGGGGAGCCGCTCCAGCCGCACGTGACACGTGGGAAGCAGGCGCGTACGGATTGTGTGCGAGTGCCATTTCAATGGCGGCCCACCATTGACGGAACAAACCGCGCAGCGCTTTGGCCAAGCCAGCCTCAAGCGTGACCCAGCAAACACCACCCGCCCAGCAAACCCCCAGGGGAGTCGCCCCCGCCCCCCGCGATGAGTCGCCCCCACCTTTAATCGCTCCATAAGGAAGTCCATCCGCCCCCGCAGCTCTGCAGGCCTAAAAGCCAGCAGCCCGGGCTCGCGCGCGACCAGCTCTCGCGTGGAGGGCTGCGACAGCTGCAGCAGCGCGCCGACGGTCTTTAGGCGCAGCCTGAGCGCGGCGGGCAAGGCGGGGGTATTTGGGAGACTGAGGTTTTTTGTCGGGTCCGGGCTTGGCCGTAGTGTGTATGTGTGCATGTGTGTGTGCGCATGTGTGTGTATGTGCGTGTGTGCAGGATCAGCCGCCATGGCGGAGGTATATCACGCATTTGAGGGGGTGAAGATTTCAGGTGGGAGGCGCTCTGGCCTGCAGGGTGATGCGGCGTTCTGCCTGGGCATCACTGCCATGCCGGGGCCGCCAAACGACGGCAACCTGCCCTCCCGATGCCTCTGCTGGGCAGCGACCACAATACACTCGCTTGGGC